GAAACACTATTGCTTATGTATCATTTATTCAAATTTTATTTTATTTTATTTTAAGAAAATATTGTATGGCCAAGTGTACCCGGCTCTTACAATGTCTCAAATAGTCATTTTACCTTGCACCATGAAACTAAAGATGTTGAATTTTTTTATATGAAAACATTAGGTATGTAGTAGTATTGTTTTATAAATCATATAGCATTTAATTAGATTGCTAATATTGATATAACATAATGTTTATTCAATATGTATAAACTTATTTAAGACAACTTAGGAAATTTATTACCATGGAGTATTGATATGACTTAAAGTTGTTAGTCATTGCTATGTGTTTTCTTAAGTATTTTTTCCATGTTCGATAAGATATTTAAATAAAAATTTATTTAATGCATACATATTTACTTGACTAATAATTTTATGTTTACTTTTAACGTAAATACATAGAAAGTGTGTAATTTAAAAATATACATAACATACTTTACGGATGTTGAAATATTTTTGTAATAGGTTATATTAGCATTTACCTCTAGATTTGAGAATATTTTGTTATTTTTTATAATGGCTAAGGTGGATAATTTACATATGAACTAAATGGTGTTACTTTCTAATATCTTTCATAATTGCATATATTGGTAATTTGAATGCAAACCTAGGGATTACTTTGTATCATCTTTCATAATAGCATATGTGGGTAATTCATAAAAAATATGACAGTGTTATTTTAAATTATCTTTCATAATAGCAGAGTTGGTTAATTTAGATATAAACCTAGAGGGTTATTATGATTAATCTTTTACTAATGGCAGATGTGGGTAATTTACATGCAAATTTTGGGGTTGGTTTGAAAATTCTTTCATAGTGGCATATGTAGGTAATTTAGATACAAATTTATGGGGTTATTTCGAATTATAATGGAAGAAGTGGATAATTTAGATACAAAATTAGTTGGTTACTTTGTGTATTTTTATAATGACAGAGGTGGGTAATTTTTAATAAAACATAATAGATTCAATGTCCATTATTAGCACTGATGTTTAGAGATACTAAATTAAAGGCCAGATATTTATGATTATTGTGCTAATTTCTAGGATTTAATTATCTTTTTTTCTAAGAATTAACATGGAGCCTCCGTTAGAGCATTAGTAATAGTAAGATGTTTTGTTTTGCTAAGAAGCACTATGCCTTCCCAAACACATCTAATAAATAAATTGCACTACGAACAAAGGGTATATATCTTCCCCAATGTACTGCTAGTCTTCTACACTATATATAGTCTTGTCAAGGGCTTTTTAATTACTTAATTTTGAGTGTATTTTCTTGTAGTACACTAAATAAGTCTTTTGTTTTTCAAATTCCAATAGTGGTTACTCACTTGATGTGTTATTGTAGCACCCGGTTTTAAGAACAAAACCAGATACACAACATATGTGAGCCTAGAAAGTCAAATCTCACATATAGCTACAAATAAAGGTAATATCAATAGACAATACTTAATATATAACATACTTGGTATAAAGGACATAACCTTATATAGCAAACAGCGGAAAGACAACTTCGACCTTCGGGTGAAGACTTCAATTCCACAGGAACAACTAACTGGTTGATCATAAGCCTAATTTATCTAAACTCTAGCAATCTGGTACTCATCCGGGATTTTTATCCAAATAATTGAAAAATAAAGTAAGTGTAAGTACATGTCACACTCAACAAATATAATATGGGGTTCATGAGGCTCAAAAGGCTGACACTGGTTTAACTACAATTAGATTTTAATGGGTCATCATTTTAGCAATTGAGTAGCCACAAATTTATCCACAAGCCCATGTTAACACATGATCAGGTAAACATGAATAATGAATAGCATAAACAGTAATCATTAATGAGCATCTTCATTATCAGTATCATCTATGTTCATCATCATTAACCATTAGTGATCATCTATTCCGTAAATATTCCAAGGCCACTCATGACCGTGAGCATGGCTGATATGCCAATTTTACACTCTGCAGAGATTGTACACTTTCACTATGAGTCATGATTTACCCTTTCGCCCGAGGTAACTAATCTTTTGACCCACTTCCAAGGAAAGTCGGAAGGGTTCACTATGAAGCCTTTTAAAGGTTCGTCTAACAAGTTAGGGCCATTAGATTTACTCGGCAAATAGATATAGGAAACCCTTGTCGAATGGCACAATTCCACCACGGCTATACACATAAGAGTAGAGGTTGTCCTATACCTGATTCGGCAAGCCATTCTTACGCCAATAAAGGTAACCACTAACAAGCTAGAAAAGGTCCTCATACTGAGTTAGAGCTAGAGCCATATAGCCCTCACTGTTGTACTGTAAGTCCCGGATGATCACTTACATATAAGTCCTTAGGGAGAGGAATCTAGAGCACCATAAAAATAGCTCAATGCTCTAGCCCCCTGATTCTATGTTACTAAAAACATCTTTTAATGTTTATTACATATACCATTAGTCAAGTTACAAGATCATGGTTGTAGTTGAGCACTAGCATCATACTACCCAATACAATATCCCATAGGTATCAAGGCACAAGGTAACAAAGCACTAGAAAATCCTTAGTGGCAGTCAAGGTAGACACATGCAGTATGAATTAAATGATTAAAGGTATATAGGACAACAAGGAAGATCCCATGCTATACTTGCCTTAAACTCATATCCTTCTTCTAGTCTAAACCTTCAAAGATCTGCTTCTTGATTCACCACGTATAACCCACCGACTGGACATGATCATAAAGCACCACACAAACATACATGCAATCATACACGAAGCAAATAATAGATCTAAATTAGAACAGTACACCAAATATAAAATCAAGATGGAGGTTTGTAAAACGAATCTACGTCTCGCTACGAACACACAGACACGAAAAGCACGCTAATCGGAGCTATGATTGAAAAGATACAACTACCGAAAGATCTGCTCATAAGAGAAAATATAAAACTATAAGCTTCATGTGTTTTAACTATATAAAAGCTTATATATAAATTGAATTAAGTCAAATTGAAATTTGATTTATAAAACTAAAGTAAAACAAATCATAGTTTATTTATAAAATTCAATTGCATAATTATTATCCAAATTAGAAGTTAAACCATGAAATTCTAGAAATAGTGACATGGTCACCACTGTTACTAACACATAGATATCGTTGCTATTAATCTAACGCAACTTGAATGGGCTAAAACAGAGTTAAAACGTAGAAGATAGGATTTAAACAAGATTCCCTTTATTAAAATAATAGATTAAATCAAACCTCTAATTTTAAAAGTTGAAAACATATCTAACAGTAGTATGAACATGTAGATTATGAAATTATGAACCAAACGCAATTTGAACGGATCAAATCGAAGTTAAAACAGAGAAGTTATGGCTAAAACAAAATCAGTGGCAAACATGTAAATAAGTGAAAATGTATTTTGGATCTAAACCGATGAAAATACGCTTTCCAAAGAGGAAAACGTAATCTGTGATTGCGCTTTGGACTGCGGGTTAAGACTTAAATACTTATAAGGGCTCTTTTGCAAAACTACAAGACGAAGGGGCATCTTTCATCTGGGGCCGTCGAATTAGATTTGAACGGCCGAAACTCGATCGGGCGGATGAAAAAAAAACATGGCCGTCCAAATAGGACCGGTGACGAGGTATACGCGGTGGCGCCATGGATGGCTCACCGGAGCTCTCGGTTCTTGGCCTACGGAGCACGGTTTTTCGAAACGGAAAAGTCTGGGAGAGAGAGGGGAGAGTGAGGAACTCACCGGACCCAAGAGAAGCAAGCGAGAACCAACGGAGGGCGGTGCAGCGCTGGACGGGCGATGGCTCTCGCAGCGGCGCTTTGGGCTAGGAGGCTGTGAGCTGGCGTGGGGCAGAATCCTTACTGCAAGGTGGGATAGAGAGGCGGAACAAGCTCGGCGGCTATTTATGGGGCAAGGAAACTTGGGCGGCACGGCACACGAGTCGTGGCGAGGCCGGATACGGGCGGCGTCGGCGTGGAGGACTCCGGCTCGGGCACGGCGCGGTGTGGGAGACGCACCCGACAGGCGGGCCCGGCGTGTCAGCAGGGAAGGGGAGGAAAGAGGAGACGCGCGGCGCGGCCTAGGATGGCTTTGCTGGGCTACGAAGCTGGGCCGCTGCGGGACTAAGCCGACGCGGGCCACGCGAGAAAAAACGAAGGAGGAGAGGAGAATACTGGGCCGGGAGAGGAAGAGCTGGGCCACGAGCAACGACGTGGCGCTGGGCTGCCGAAGAGAGGAGGAAGAGTGGGCCACGGGAGAGAAGCAGTCCGGCTGGGCCAGAAACCAAAAAGGAGGGAGAAATAAAAGAAATTCCTTTTTCATTTTCAAACCGAATTCAAATATGAATCAAATCAAATTGGAATAGGGTTTCAAACACCCTTTTCAATTCAAACAAAATGGGAATTTTTTTTGTAAGTTTTCCAAAAATAAATCTTACACCTTTTTAAATTCTTTTATTTTCTAATTCCCTTTTCTTTTACTTCAAAGCAATTTAAACCATTTTGAATTTTCAATCAAAACCACTCAATCAAATACATCAAATGCAAAGGCATGTATGCTCAAACATGTTGCTGGTCCCTATAATGAATTTTAAATTAATGATTTTTTTTATTTTCCTATGTTTTCATGAGCACAAAATTCAGAAATAAATCATTTTAAACCTATTTTCAAAAGAGGCAAATTTTAGGGTGTTACAGTTATCAAGCAAGAGTGGTACAATTGGTAGTACCTTTGAGTGGATCATATACTTGAGGTACAAAATGTTTTCGTCAAAACCTACCCAATTCTCCAATTCTTACAACACAACCCGGCAGAGTTCCCTAGCAAGGATGTCAGCACAAATAACCCTTGATGCTGAACTTGGCACAAAATCTGAAGATTCTGGTCAAATCTACAGCAGGAGCATTCAGAGGAGGATACAGCCTACTTGCAGCCATTTGGTTGCTTGTTGGTGCTTGATGTAATGAGCCTCAATGTCATTGCATTCAGTGAAAATGCACCCGAGATGCTTAAAACAATCAGCCATGCAGAGCCAAGTATCTATGAATCCCCAATGTTGTCCATTGGGACGAATGCATTGTCACTTTTCGTGGAATATAGTGCCACATCACTACACAAGGTACTAAGGTCTGCTGATGTTTCTTCTTTGAACCCAGTCCTAGTTGGATGCAGATCATCGGGCAAGCTATTTTATGCCATTGCCCATAAGGTGACTGGTACTGGTTGTCTAGTGGTTGATCTTGAGCCAGTGAAGCCTTCTGAATTTTCTACTGCTGTTGCATGGGCTTTGCCGCAGTCTTACATGCTTGCGGCGCCGGCAGTATCAAAGATCCAGTCAGTGCCAGGTGGGAGCATGGAGGTCTTGTGCAATACTTTGGTACAAGAAATCTTTGACTTAGTGGGATATGATAGAGTCATGGCTTACAAGTTCCATGAAGATTATCATGGTGAGATCATTGCTGAGGTTAGAGAACCTGGTCTTGAACCATTTATTGGCCTACACTATCCAGCCACTGATATCCCTCAAGCCGCCAGGATTCTTTTCATGAAGCACCAAGTTCAAATGATATGTGACTGCTCTATGAGGCCAGTGAAGATTATCAAAGACGAGGAACTCCCTTTTAATGTTAGCTTGTGTGGTTCAACTCTTGGGGTGCCACAAAGTTGTCACCTTCAGTATATGAAGAACATGAAATCGGTTGCCTCTCTAGTAATGGCTGTTGTGATAAATGAAAATGGAGAATATTCTAATGCCAAGCATGAACAACCAACAGAATGGAGGCGCCCGAGGAAGAAGCTATGGGGCCTCATTGTTTGCCAGCATATGAGCCCTAGACATGTCCCCTTTTCGCTACTGGCATGCATGTGAATTCATAGCTCAAGTGTTTGCTGTCCACATAAATAAGGAGCTAGAATTGGAGAAGCAGATGTGACACATAAGTATGATAAAAAGGTTAAAGGTTTTGTTCTCCATGACGTACCATTTTTTTCTTCATTTGTTTTTATTAAGCTCTCATAGCAAGCTAGGAGTTTTTCTATCTGATTTACATCAATGTTGTAAGGACCATTGGCTTAATAATGTTCCATTATATTCCTGGACTCACAGGTTAAGTCATATGGATTTCGAGATGGGTGAACTTGTGTTACAAGACATGCTGGAGGCCGCAATAAGTGAAGTACGGTCAGCTTGTCAAGGAAAAGGGATCAGAGTATCTACCGACCTTGCAGAGAAATTTCGCAAGCAAAGGCTTAATAATCCGAACTTAATGCAGCTACTGCAGAATGTCCTGTTCGACTTCCTATTTGCTTCTGTGAAGTTCTGTCCCATTGGAGGTTCCATTGTAATATCTTGCAACCAGACTATGAAAATTGGAGAAAATATTAGTACCATGGATCTGGAACTTAGGTACACTTCTCATGCACTTTATTGCACTCATACAACATTTTCCTGATATGAAGTAGTGATATTCGAATAATACTTAAAAGCTAGCATTGCATTTATGGGTTTCAGGATCAAGCACACAATGATAGCACTCCCAGAGGAAATGTTTTCACAAATGTTAGGAGACAATGAAGAGCAGTCAGAGGAGGACTTGACCCTTGTAATTTGTAGAAACATTATGGCCCTGTTTGGTTGAGCTGTGGCTTTTGAAAAAGTTGTTGTGAGCTGCAGGCTGTGGAAAAGCTGTTGTGAGCTAAGAGCTGTAGAAAAAGTTGAAAGTCGTTTGGTTAGAGCAGCTGTGAAATTGTAGGCTGCGTAAGAAATGTATGCCATGCCCCTAAAGTCCTAAGGACTATTTATATGCAAATTGCTCATAAATAACTATTCTATTCACTTATTCGCATGTAAATCACTATTTTGGAAAGGAAACATTAATTTTTTTCTAAGTTTTTCATGAATCAAGGTGATATGGTCCACATAAATACAACAATAGCATTTTATAAAAGACAAAGGGCACATCCATTGATGTCATCCCTCAACATAACTATCCTCCTCTCGCACTAACCAAAGCATCAGCTATTCTACTGCGAATGGTATTCATCGTATGCTCATTTTCCACATCTTCACTCTAATCTCCCTGTGTTTGTGTTGTGTCACTTATCTGTTGTACCAAGTATTCCTCATCAGCATCACATCTCTCGAACTCCTTATCACGCAAATTATTGTCACGGAAAAAATTATGCAATGCCAAATAAGCAATAATGATATGCTTCTGAGTACGAGTTGAGAAACTTTGTATGCCCATCAAAATACACCACTTCTCCTTATATACTCTGAAAGCCCGCTCAATGACACTTCGAAGGGAAATGCAAGAAATTGAACACCTCATACTTCCCTTGGGTGGTCCAGAATGATGATGAAATTCTGGTATATGGTATGTGCTTCCTTTGAAAAGGGCAAGATACCCTATTCGGTTTGGATAACCGGAGTCCACAAGATAACCGAAGCCCTTCACCTACTTGTGGCTCCCACTGGGTACTTATAGGCCTTCCTTTCAAGAATTTAGCCCTCTTCTGTCCAACATTGAAACCAAGCTCAATGGGATCAGCAAGATGCTTTCATATCAAGGCAGATTGGTACTTGTTAACTCTGTCTTCATAGCTATGCCAACTTTCTATATGTGTAGTCTCGTTTTGCCAACTTTCTTCATAGCTATATCAAGGTATAGGAAACATTGTCTGTGGAGTGAAGGTGATATCAACAAAAAAAGGTTCCTGTTTGGCAGGCTGGGAGCCTACTTGCAGGCCCAAAACTAAGCGTGGCCTTGGCATAGTTAACATACAAACACAGGAAAAACCCCTCTTATTGAAATTCATGGACAAATTCTATAATCATGCAAATGTCCCCACGATAAGCCTGACATGGTCAAAACTTTACTCCACCAATCGGCTTGTTCGCTGGTTGGTTTCTGGGCTGGTTTGGGCTGGCTGGTGCTGGTTTATTGTGAGAGTAAAACACTGTTGGCTGGCTGGTTTGGGCTGGCTGAAACCAACAAGCGAACAGGCTGAATGTCCCACCCCATGCAAGATGTCCAGTTGGATCCTTCTGGTGGAAGGATGTGCTCAAGCTATATCCTTATTTTACATCATGGCAATATGCAAACCCAACCTAGGTAGCTCCATCCTCTTTTGGTCTGATAAGTGGATTGAACCCTGTCTTAGAAACATATTCCCACATCAGTTTTCCTTTGCCAGAACATAGAAAAGCTCCCTCAGATTCTTCTTGCACAATGAAGTCAATTAGATTTTTGCTCTTCCACTCTCAGTCCAAGCCTCTGAAGAACTTGAGGCCCTTCAACTCCTTCTGTAGGGTAGGACTTGGAACCAGGATCTTTTAGACAGCTGGAAATACAATTGGAACGCTGGGAAATTCAGCTCTAAGAAAGCTTACATTCTCCTTCAAGGCCCTCAGTAACCTCCCCCTCTTCTCCTGGCTCTGGTCTTCTGGAAATTTTGGTAAACATAAGTTCTTCTTCTGGTTACTTCTCAAAGACTGCTCAAACACAAGGAATCTGCTAAGAAGAAAGAACAAAGTTTTGGAGGACTACAGCTGTGCCATTGGCAACTCTGGAACTGAAGAGACATGTATGCACCAGTTCTTCGAGTGCCCTTTCATCATAGCCTGCTGGAACTACCTTGATATACATTGGAATTTAAACATACCGCCCATGGATATGGTCATAGAAGCCAGGTTAGATATTGGACGAAGCTACTTCAGAGAAATCATCATCGCTACATGCTGGATTATTTGGACCTCAGGGAATAGACTGATTTTTTATAACATACCTTGCACTGTCAACAAGTGGAAAGAGCATTTCAAAAATGAAATGTCCTTGGTTTGCATCAAGGCCAAACCCAACCTTGAAGGTGCCCTAAATCTTTGGTTGGAGAATCTGCCTTAGTAGCCTTTTCATTTTTGTTCTTGAGCTTTGCAATCTCCTTATATCCACACCTTGTGCACCTGTACTACTCTACTTACTTCATTAATACAAAAAAAATTGGTGGGGGAATTCCCCCACTGAGCCCTAAAAAATCTCCAATGTCACTTGAAATTTCTAAATTTTAATTTCAATATCTTAGAACATAAAACAATTATTTATAAATCTAAAAATGACTTCAAATGAAAGCTTCTTAACTACAAAGTTGTAGATGGTATTGAGAACTACAACTTTTGTGCAGATTATGTCAATGTCCGAGGTTGTTTGAAATTTTTAAATTTCAAAATTTATGAGCTACAAAGTTATAGAGTACATTGAGCTCTAATATTCTAGTATCATTTTTCTTTATCTATATTCATATAAGAAATTACAATTTTTTAGGACAACTATTTTAAGAGGCGGTCCTTAGAATGATCGTCTCAGATAATTGATTTCTGGAGACAATTGCCTTGCAATATCCGACCATTGAAAATGATTAAGAGGAGAGCGTTTGCCTAGTAGAAACTGCCTCCACGATTACAGAGGCGGTGCTACAAAATACCCAACTCTCAGGGGTCTATATCCTAAAATCCTTTCTGTACCAGAGCATACACTCACCCCTATGAGCACCTTCGAACAAATCTTGAGTGATGAAGTCACCATAGACGCCTCGCTATCGAGGGGCACCCTATAAGCACCTTCGAAGAACTGAGTTGAACCGACAAATCTTGAGATTGACGAAGTCACCATAGACGCCTCGTTGTCAAGGGACATGTCGTCTGCCACTGGCGTCATCAAACCCTAAAATAAATCTTGGAAAATGCGAGCACATGTGTCAAGTCGAGGACTTGAATTCGGGTAGGACTGGTTCCACCACGAGAAGCTTAACCAATTCATCTTATGTAGACCTAAGATATATAATGTAGGAAAATTTTGTTGCAGGACATCCTCATGTCCAAAAAAAAGTGGTATTGGTAAATTGACACCACAAAACATTAAAATTTATTAGGTAATATTATGAAATCTCTACCATTTATGTTAAGACATCATATAAATTATTTTATTAATTTCTCATACCTATGGAGAGAGATAAGATGGGAGAAATAGTATTTTTGCCCTGTCTTCACATCTTTTCTTCGTTCCGCTCTCATCTTGCATTTACCTAGCGTTGCCGTGAGATTCGTTGGTGCACTTTATTTGGTAGTAATAATTCTATTAGGCCCCGTTTGGAACGAAGGAATGTAAAACAGAGGAATGGTATGTAACACAGGAATAAAGAAAAGTAAAAAGTGGAAAACTATAGGATTGAAAACCATATGAATGAAACATTTGGACTGTTTGGATTGCAGGAAATGAAAACCATAGGAATGAAACATCAGAAGCAGCGTTCCCTCCGTTCCCTTGGGTCGGAGTGGATTTTCTTGTTCCTACGTTTTGTGTACAAGCAGTTTCCTTTCCTCTGGAACGGTAGGGAAGCTTCCTTTGTTCCAAACGGCATCTCTCGTTTTCTTTCCTCCGGAATTGCTTCCTCCAAAATTCCTGTGACTTTCCTTCAATTCAAACGGGGCCTCAGTGTTTTGAACGTATGTAGAAATCAACAGACCGGACTGTGACAAAAGCCTCTCCTCGTACGTTGTGTCCAAAAGAGTGCAGGGGTTCATGACTTTCCACGTACTAGCAGCCAACGTTTCATTTGCTTTCTCACTTGCGCCACTTCGACTGAAAGACGAGATGCTCTGCACTTGTTGCGATCCAGGAGAAAAGTTCATGCCCGGTTATAAAGGTTGCTGGTGCACTTTGCTCTTTGCACTAAAAAGTTCATTGAAGGAGTTTTCTCTTTTTTTTCCTCAATTAATTTCATGGCATAGTTAGCGAGAGACTTTCCATCAAACGAGAAGCAAACGTACCGTGTGCTGTGCTGCAGAATCCACAGTGGGCATGTGCGTTCATTGAAGTAGTAGCACGTTGCTGCCAGTCAAATGAAAGACTCTCCTGGTACCTTTGGTCCGAAGACTGCCCAAACAGTGCGACGACTGACGGATGAGAGTGGAGTGACAACGACCTCCACGTTTCGCTGCCGTGTTTTGTTGGCGAAATTTTTGACGAAATGGTACTGTAGTATTTTCATTGTTATTTGGTAATTAGTGTTTAATCATAGTTTAATTAGGTTTAAAAGATTCATATCGTGAATTTCGTCTAAACTGTATAATTAGTTTTATTTTTTATTTATATTTAATGTTTCATGCATGCGTCCAAAGATTCGATATGATGAGAAATCTTGAAAAATTTTATAAAATGGAAGAGAACTAAACGGTGCCTTGGACTCAACTCACTTTTGGACTCGCAGACGAGCCGGGACGCTGTGCCTCACAGAGATTCGCTCCAGTCTCCAATCCAGATCCAGGGCTTGTTTTCAACGTAGTAACCGTACGGTGTGTGCTGTAGGGAGGCAATTTCCTTCGCCGCGAAGATACATTCTCCAGTGTCAGTGTAGTGTGTGGCTGCATTGGCTGCTTGACTGACCAATTTGTAGCAGTAACAGAAGCTTCTTTGTCTAAGACTAGATTTTCCGTAAGTCAGCATAAGTGAGGGTGTGTTTAGTTCGCGAAATGAAAATTTTTGATGTCATATCGGATGTTTCGAGGATATTGGAAGGAGTTTTCGGATACTAATAAAAAAACTAATTACATAGTTCGTCTGGAAACTGCGAGACGAATTTATTAAACCTAATTAATCCATCATTAGCGCATGTTAGTTATCGTGGCACTTATAGCTAATCATGGACTAATTAGTCTTAAAACATTCGTCTCGTGATTTTCAACCAAACTGTGCAATTTGTTTTTTTCGTCTATATTTAATACTCTATGTATATGCCGCAAGATTCGATGTGATAGTTTGGAATGAAAACTTTTGGGAACTAAACCAGGCCTGATTTCAAATAAAACAGTTTGTTCTCTTAAATACGACATGTCTTTTCAATTTGCAGTATCCGATCCCTCGCCAGTTTATTATTCCTATATATATATATATAACTAGGACGGGATTTCGGAAGTGTTTGTGAAAATAAATCACTGCATATAATTTTCATGTCTCCGACAAAATATCTATAAGATATAGAAAGTAAAATTAAAACATCAACTAGGTCACATCCGGAACATCAATTATTTTTTGTTTGTCAGAGAAAGTTTGATTTATTTGTCCCTACAGCTAAATTCTTGTGTGAACTAAAAAATATAAATTCTCGTACAAACTAAGTGTAATGTAACTCAGCTAGTTAATCTGGGTTTAAGTTCACAGGAATATACTCCCTTCTCTCTACACTTTCTTGCAACCCAAGTTTACCCCTTCCCCTTCGCAGTCCAATGAAAGTGGAACCGCCAAAATGGTGTGGTCCTCGTCCTCGGTGTCCCCGCAGAAGGATGCTTCGAGAGGATCCTACCGGAGCGGCGAGCAGAACGCGCTGGCGGAGGACATGTACCAAGCCGTCAACTACCTCTTGCAAGAGCTCTACTTCAAGGAAATTGAGGGAGACAAAGCTTGAGTTTACCAAGTATATGTTAAGAAAGTTAAAAGCAGGTCTTTCGAAGTTGAGAATTTTGTGTGAAGACCGTTCTACCACTTGGGACAACATAAAAAAACCATTAGTCCTTTGTTTATACCTGTCTTATACCTTTGCTCAAAAAGAAGGTACAGGCATACAAAAACTTATCTTATACCTTTGCCTTTAATCCTTTGTATTGGTCTTTTCTTCCCACTTCTCAATCTCCTTCCATCCATGTCGAGCACTTGATCACCTTGACCATCACCATCTCCTCCATGGTTGTCCCTTTGCTCAACACTAACCTAGCTCATACAACATTTAAGCAAACCGTTAGTCCACCAGTTATCACTCAATTACCAAAACCGAATTAGGTATTTCAACTTAGAAAGAGTTGCCACCACTAATGGTGGATACAAGGGGCAGAAGCGTCTTTGGGCGTAGCGACAATGTCTAGAGCGGAGGCCATTCTAGAGGCGGCGACCTGGGGTGGAAGGGGCAGGCAGAGGGCCGAGCGGAGGGGCCTTGGATAGGGTAGTGAGTTGTAGAGAAAAAAGAGTGCAGCACGTGCGTGGGATACAAAAGTATTTTGGGAAAAGAGTGAGCTAGGATTTGATGCAAGAGCATGATGGGTGCAAAATGTTCGTCACAAAACATCACCGTATTGTTAGAGGGCAATGATCATATCCCTGGCCCATGACGGTGAAAGCTCCATGAATGGTTTTGGTAATTGAGCACTAGTGGAATAACCTTTTGCTAAGTGTTGATTAATCTAGGTTAGGTCCACACCAATATGGTGAGCAAGGCTTGGAGATGTATGAAGGGTGATCAATCCAAATGGAGCAAGCGCGTACTTGGAGAAGATGAGGAGGTGAAAACAAGCCTAAAGGCAAAGGTATATGTTAGGGGTTTTATTTTCATTGGCTGAGATGTAATAAAGTATGTGGTCAGGTTTAGGAC